AAGTTTCCAGGTACATTAAGGGTACGTCTGTACCAAAACTTACACAGGTTTGTCCTCATTTAAATAAATTGCTTTAGTTCAGTGGCTCTCAACCTTTCCAGACTACTGTATCCCTTTCAGGAGTCTGATCTGTCTTGCATACCCCCAAGTTTCACCTCACTTAAAAACTGCTTGCTTACAAAATCAGACATAAAAATACAAAAGTGTCGCAGCACACTTACTGAAATAGTGGTGGCAAGAGAAGGCCTCTGAGATCCAGGGTTTTGTAGACCAGGATGACATGAGAAGCTTCTTTCAAGCAACAAAAGCTATATATGGGCTAAGCTCCAAAGGCCCAACCCCCTTATGCTCTCAGCCTCCTCAAGGATAATGCAGTCATTAAACAATGCTGGAAGGAGCACTTTGAGAGCGTACTAAACTGCAAATCCAAGGTCTTTGAAGACACCATCGAGTTTATTCCACAGCGCTCGGCAATGGAACACTTTGCTGATCCCTCAACTTCTGAGGAAGTCCGGCATGCCGTCACTCAGACAAAAAATCATAAGGTACCAGGCCCAGACGGCATCCCAGATGAGGTTTTTAAAACTGGTGGAACAATGCTCCAGCACAAACTTTGCCAACTCCTTGACAAAATCTGGACCTGTGAAGAAATTCCACCTGACGTTAAGAACATCAACATTGTTACAATATTCAAGAAAGGGAACAAATCTTTGTGCGGGAACTACAGAAGTATTGCCCTCCTCTCCATCGCAGGGAAGATTCTTGCCTGGATCCTACTAAACTGCCTCCTCCCCCTTGCCGAGGAACTTCTCCCTGAATCACAGTGTGGCTTCAGGCCATCCCGAGGCACAACCGACATGATCTTTGTGGCACGACAGATTCAGGAGAAGTGCAGAGAGCAACACCAGGAACTGTTCATGGCATTCATCAACTTAACCAAGGCCTTTGACTCTATCAATCGTGATGCCCTATGGAGGGTTCTGGGTGGGTTTGGCTGTCTAGAGAAATTCATTTCCATCATCAGACTACTCCATGATGGAATGACTGCCACCATTTTGTGTAACGGCGCAGAGACAGAACCATTCATCAGTTGCACTGGTGTCAAGCAGGACTGTGTCATTGCTCCAGCACTTTTCTCCATTTACCTTGCCGTGATCCTGATTCTCATTCGTGACTGCCTTCCTGACAGAATCGGGACTGAGTATCGTATGAATGGCCAACTCCTCAATCTTTGACATCTCCAAACAAAATGTAAGATCACGAGAACTGGCATCACTGACCTTCAGTATGCAGATGACTGTGTCATTCTTGCACATACAGAGGCCGACCTGCAAAGCACCCTAAATCTTTTTGCAGATGCCTATCACAGCCTGGGTCTCTTTCTCAACATCGGGAAAACCAAGGTATCCTGCCAGCCCTCACCTGCACAAACTACTCTTTGTATTCTAGAAATCACCATCAGTGGAGAACCCCTGCAAAATGTGGACCATTTTCTTTACCTTGGCAGCCACTTCTTCCAAACAGCTAAAATTGACACAGAAGTCGAATACAGGATCCCCTGTGCCAGCACGTCCTTTGGAAGACTGTTCAAAGGAGTCTTCAGTGATAGGAATCTGCAAACAGGTACGAAGATTTTGATTTACAGGGCAGTTGTCATTCCCACCCTTCTCCATGGGTGTGAGACCTGAGTAACCTACAGACGACATCTCAAGCCGCTGGAGTGGTTCCAGCAGTGCTGTCTCAGGAGGATTCTCAGGATCAGCAGTCAAGGCAGCGCAGAAATAAGGGTGGCAATACCCCAACCCCCCACAATAGCCTTGCAACCCCCTTTTGGGTCAGGAACTCCAGTTTGAGAAACACTGACTTAAGGGCTTTGCATGTTTATATTTTTAAATACATATTATTCATTTGTGACAACATCGTGAAATTTAAGATTTAAATATCTGAAACTGTGAAATTTAAGATTTTTAAAATGCTATGACCGTGAGATTTACCAAAGTGGACCATGAATGTGGTAGGGCCCTACTTATATTGATGTAGCTTACATTAATTCCTTCCAATTTAACTTCACCATTACAAGTTTGTGTATAGACAAGGCCTTACAACCCACTGACCTTTCTCTACTCTTGGTTTGACTGTGGTTAGGAAACAACTCTCTCTGTGCTCTTTCATTCAGTTACATTTCCACATCTCCCTTTCATTCTACAATCGGATATCTTTCTCTTTCTCAATATTTGCAAAACTTTTCTTTGCCCTTTTCTCCCACCATGGGAAAGGGCTTCACACACTGTTGTTGACTTGCTTGGTTATACTGTTTCATCTGCTTGCCAGCAGCTAGGGTGTATTCATACAACTGGGTTCTGGTAGACCAACTAGCTTTGTGGGATAGTTGGTCATCACTGCTGTTGGCTATGGTCATAGTTACCAAGATGGTATAGATTTAGCCAAAGGCAAATACTCAAATATGTCACAGGCTGAGGTCTATCAGGCACCCAGCTGTTGGGTGGCTGTTCTTGTGTATACATCCTTGTGAATTTTAGGCTATTTCCTCCTTAGAAGGGCGAAAGAAAAAGGGCACAGGAAAACAATATGAAGTTCAACAGAATGCACTTATAACCCTTCAGCAGTCACTAAACCCTTCTCCCCACACCACCTTATTGGAAAAATTGCCCCTTTGAAAAATGTTCTTTGTCCCCATATTTTCCATGGCTCTCCCTACTTTTACCCGAGTCCTAATGATCTTTTCTGTCTCTCTGCTTTTTTTTTTTTTTTGCTGCCATGCTCCTCCCCTTACCCTTGTTCTCTCACCCATACTATCTTCCTTCCTGAACCTTTGGTTGATGTTTTCCTTCTGCTCCTCATGATTTCCTGTTTTTCTGTTCCCTGCTCCATCCCAGTTCCTTTCTCAACTTCCCCACTTTTCCTCTTCCCCACATGAAGCTTCCCTTATTTGTTCTGTTTTCCTAATTGCTACCTCCTCTTTCTCCTCCCTGTGGCTGCCTGCTCTCCTCTCTGTCCTATATCTCTTCACCTGTGGATGCGTCCCTTCTCTCCCAAGAGTATCCTCTGGCTCTTTCACCACCTTCTTTCCACCCAGGGTTGCCTGTCCCACAAAGATTGACCTGTGTCCAGTGCAGGCTCTTTTCCTAGCAACAGTTCAGTAGCCTTTTTCTTGCTCTCCCCAGCTACCCTTTTCCTCTCTCTCGGAGCAGCCACTTCTACCTCCTGGCTGCTGAAAGGTTGTATAGTCACAGAAAAGGGATTCTCTGTGTAATGAGATCAGAATTAGGCCCTATGAATGTGCATCCAATATTAATGGCCCAGTCCCTAACCCAGACTTTCCAAACATATGTTCCTTCTGAGATCACATGCCCATCACTGAGGAGATGTGCCATTCTGAGGTATGTCTACACTAGAGCTGGAAGATGTAAGTTCTACTTCGAGTTGACGTACCCACATTAGCTCTGATCAAGTTAGCAAGCTAAAAATGGAAGTGTAGCCACAGTGGCACAAGTGATAGGACAAGTTAGCCACCTAGGTTCTCTGATGGGATGATAATCAGGGCAGCTAGTGACCCACACTGTTCGTGCTGCTGTGGCTACATTTCTATTTTTAGTATGCTAGCTTGATCAGAGCTAGCGAGGGTTTGTTTATCTGAGCTGGAAATTATACCTTCCAGCTCCAGTGTAGACATACCCTTAGTCCTACTTTTCAGGAACAAAAAGCTGTGGTGGTTGTAAAAGATGAACAATATGCCCTTTGATTCTGGAACGAGAAATCTTCTGTCTGGAATCATTTGTCCTTCTACCCTCAGTATATACAGGTCTGGCTTTCTTGGACATCTGTAGGATCTGTTTCTCTAGAAGACATTCTTTTCTCACTCTGCATTTCTGTATCTTAGAGTTATTGCTATAAGAACTCCCATTCCACTCTCTCCTTAAAATTATTTGTAAGACTCATAAGAAAAAAATGTGAACAGTACTTACAATAACATTATAGTACTAATGGTACCTAAGATCGCTGTGTATATATAAAATACTAAACCAATAACAGGAGGTCTGAGTCAGATTTATACAGCCTTTCCAACATGAAGCAGAATGTATGTTATCTCTTTGTATCAGGAAGAGAATAAGAAGAAAACAGTCAGCATGGGGAGAATCCCAATAGTTTTTGGAACAATTTGGTAAAAGAGTTCTTTTCAGACTGGGTGATGAAGAGATGCTATATTAGTTGTAAGCGTGACTGCTGGTGCGAGTCATTTTCTCCACTGAAAATACACCCAATTTAGTTAACTAATTTCCTCTGTTGGGGTGTTGCCAACTCTTGCAATGTTATTGCAAGTCACATGATATTTGGTGTTTTCCATAAAGCCCCAGATTCTAGAGTCATGTGATAATGTGAGAATCTCAGCTTTCATTAAAAAAAAAAAGTTTCTAGCCCTCTTGGTTGCAGAGAAGAGTTTGAAAATGTGAATCCTAAGGAACCAAGAGGTAATGAAAAAGAACCCAGAACTTATTGGATGAGATGCAATTCTGGCCAATTGAAATCAATTTTAAAACTTCCATTGTCTTCAATAAGAACAGGGTTTCACCACTATTTTTAAAATCTCATAATCTTAAAGCCAATCTCATGATTTTTTGGGGTGGTGGGCTGACTCATAAATTTTGAGCTCATGTAATTGGCAACACTGAACCCTATTCTGTTGAAGTAAATTCTGTATTATCTTTGAACTGTGTATTTATCAATAAAAAGTCCACTTTTGTGTCTGCTTTCATCAATAGCAGAACTTCCATTGACTTCAGTGGGTGCAAGACTGCGACAGAAAGTTAGTAAACTAGGCTTGTCATGTGTTCAGTTTGTACCTGGCTGCAGTAGCCTTTGTGTTGGAGAGAAGAGTATTGCTCCCCTCTCCCCTTTATTACGTGAGAGGAAGAATTGAATGAGTGGCAAATTAATTGTAGGCTGAATAAAAGCCTTCTTTTTTAAAACTGATTTTGCAGGACCCATTCACTGTGTGAGGACACTTCTTCAGAATTGCAGAGAGAGATTTCCATGGAGACAAGAGGCCTGTCTGAATCCCGCAGGAGCTCATTCACAGGCACTGGAGCAATGGCTAGGTAACTGGCTAACTAGCGTAACTTCGAATAGTAAAGGATCTCATGTCTGCAAAAGATTGTTGAATGTGGGAGGACAGGGATGGTGGTCATAGATTTACTAGAAAATGAGTTCAATCCATCTGAAAACATGAAAAGCCTATAATGATCATAAAATGGAACAAAAGATGCTTTGACTTTAATTTTGTACTTATAGCTCAGTTTTTAGTGTGCTGGAGTTGGCGAGTGGGCTCAGACGGAAAAGCACATTCTAATTCAAATAGGAAAAAGGTTTAATCAACACTGAAAATAAATTGAATATGGAGGAAAAATAAGTAGTAAAGTCAAACAGTAAGGGAAGGGACAAATAAGAAGTTTCTTTTCAGACTGTTAACTGGATATAATCTTATGTAATAAGAGTGTAATAACTGTTCCCTCCCAGTCTTGATGATGGATGGCTCTGACGAGAAAGCAGACAGTAGACTTTGAGAATACAGGGATTGCTGGATATTTTTAGGATTAAATTATGTCTGTGATGCACTTGGAGCCTCAGTCAACAAAGGTTGGAGGTGCTGACTTTGATCCAGATTTAGGAAAGCACCTCTCTCCAGGACAGCACTTAAGCACGTGCTTATATTTAGGAATGTGCTTAAGTCCTATTTAGTGCATTGGAAATTAAGCACATGTCTGAAGTGGAGCCTGGATTTAAGTGCATTTCTGAATAGGGGCCTCTGTGCCTGACCTAAAGAATTTCAACTGAATTCAGAGCTCCGTTTGTCTTCTGATATAGTCATTAATTATAAAAAGAAAAGGAGTACTTGTGGCACCTTAGAGACTAACCAATTTATTTGAGCATAAGCTTTCGTGAGCTACAGTGAAGTGAAGTGAGCTGTAGCTCACGAAAGCTTATGCTCAAATAAATTGGTTAGTCTCTAAGGTGCCACAAGTACTCCTTTTCTTTTTGTGAATACAGACTAACACGGCTGCTACTCTGAAACCAGTCATTAATTATGTGAGGGACACTTTCAAGTTAAATGTCACATGTTTAAAAGAAACAATGATTATTAAAACTGAAGTCATTTTACAAATGTAGTTTATTATTCTCCATTTCTTTCATCATGGACAATGGAAAATAAACTACTCAGTTCCCTTTTTGCTTCTAGTTACTTCTACTTTCAGGTTCTCATGCAATAACACAGTGCTGCAATGTGTGGGGTGCAAATTCTGTTGGTGAATGGTTTTCAGTGGAATTAAAATATATATTAGGAACTTTTTGACTGACCTTAGGTTTGTAAAACTGGTGCCTAAAAGAGTTGACTCTGCCTCTTTAAAATGTTCTGCTTTCTAGTGTAGTTAAGACCAACCAAATGAATCATTTTCATTATCTGTGCAAACCACAAACTGTAGCCTACCAGACAGGCACAAGGATACTGGACCTTAATTTCATATTTTGTCAATGAGGTGAAGGCTGTATCATTTATTCTGTGGCCTTGGTGAGGTTTTTGTTTTGTAGTCTTAGAATTACATTCTGTCCCGTAATTAATGTAGGCTTTAGATTATATGTATGATACTGACCCAATGTGGAAACTAATAAAGAAACAGGAATGTGAAAAACTCTCGTCTGATTTCTATGTTCCTTCCTTTTTTATCCTTTGCAACTCAAAGGTAAGATATTCTGAGGAAAGTCTGTCAGAAGCTAGGTTTCAGAGTAGCTATTGTCTTAGGCCCTTGAGAATTTGCAGTCAAGTGGCATATGTACTGTACAGTAGCATTTAAATTGCTAAAGTACAAGTGTTTTCATCACTGTGTTATCCACCTTGTAGATTCTGGACAGATGTAATGCAAGCTTATCTGGAGAAGTCTAAAGAACTTTCCTTGAATATTGCTGGGCCTATCAAAGAAGTTCTTCTCTGTTCAGCATTTCAGCACGTTGTTTGCTCAGGGCAGGTCTAGGAAGCATGGAAGTGCACAGCACCTGTCCGACTGGGCTGCCATTAGAGGAAAATAGTCTCCTCTGTGGATTATTACATTGATAAACTGTTATCACTGCTGGGGATTTCAGTCTCAAATATTGTCATTTGGATACATTTTAGAAGCAAAATACTCACTTTGCCACTTTTACAAAGAACAATTATTGTCCTTTAAGAACATGTAACTTGGGGTGGGAAGAACATAAAGAGAAACTATGCAGCAGTGATAAAACTTATTCAGGTATCATGAGTGTTTGTTTATGTTGTTCTAGTGCTCCATTAGGATTTTAGGATGAGGAAATGCTAGGTTACATGCAACAGGCAATTAGTGGCTTTCATATTAGGGGCTAGTCCAGTTATCATAATAAATTATTCATAATGTACACAGTATGTTAGACACCTTAGAGAACATACATATAGATTTATTGTCTGCCCTGAAGTGTTTACAATCTAATAATTGTCATGACACAACAGGCCAAAACTACAAACAGTAGGAAGTGAAATAGGAAGGTAGTTAGATGATGTCACACTGTCTGGAGTGGTTCACGATTAGGGGTGCCTACCTCAGGGCAGACTGGGAAAAACAGGGCAGACACCCCAAACCGATGGTATGTTCTATAAATAGATTTTACCAAGCCAATAACAAATGTGAACTCAGTGATCACTGTAACAATCTTAACACAGAGTCACAGACAGTCCCCTTATATTCTCCAGCCTATTGTCACTCAGACAAACTGGGCTTAGTGATAAATGGTCACTTACACTAAAAAATCACACCACATTCAGGTTGCTTCCAATTTCTAGAGACCAGTCACTTATCTCAGATCAGTGGATTCCCTCGATCTTACACCTAAGATAAGGCCCGTAGCCAATCCTGTAATAAACTATGTAAAGGGTTATTAACTAGAGGGGGGGAAAAAGAGTTATTTACAGGTTAAAGCAAGCAAACACACAAATGAGTTACCATCTAAATTCTAAGAATGACAGAGCTGGAGAGAGATCTGTCAATTCAAAACGTTTTTTAGGGTGGACCAAGAAAATAATCTACATTTCCTCTAAGCTGCGCGGCTGCATGGTCACGCAGCTGCCTATTAAGCCCCATGCAGGGGCTCAGAACTGCAGTGGGGAGAGGCACCTCTCCCCCACCATGGACCTGCCATAGCGGGGAGAGGTGCCCCTCCCTGCCGGGTTCAGTACTGACCTGCACTGGCGGGGAGAGGTGCCCCTCTCCAGCACAGACCTGTCCTGGACTTGCCGCAGCTGGGGGAGAGGAGCCCCTCCCTTGGCCTGGCTCAGGCCCGCTGGAGCTGCCGTGGCCGGGGAGAGGCACCTTTTCCCCAGCCCCAAGCTGTTGTGGTGAGAGAGGGCTGGGGGGAGTCCTCTCTCTTCACTGCAGCCCTGGGGCAGCCTGTACCCCAAACCCCTCATCCCCAGCCCCACCCCAGAGCCCTCACCCTCCCCACACCTCAAGCTTCTGCCACAGCCCTGAGCCCCCTCTCACACTCCGAATCCCTCGCCCACCCACACCACATAAATTCTGTTATGTGCACCCATATGAAGGTGATGTGTGACACATCACCTCCATATTGGTGCACATAACAAAATTCATTCCGCACATGGACGTAAAAAATTAGAAAGAACACAGGATCCTTGGGGATCTCTGGCTTCAGTTTGGTTTCCCTGGCCCTGTGAGAGAGCAAATAGCAAAGAGATGAAAAATCTTCACATCAACTATCTTTATTTCCCTCTTCCAGCATTCAGAGCGATGGGATGAGGTCTTCTGTGTGTGCTTCCCCATGGGTGGATGAGGCAATTAACAAAGCTTTTGTCTTGTAATGGACCATTTAAATTTTGATGGTCCTCCTGGAGGGGTGAGGAGAAGGAAGGGAGGATTCTGTGCCTGGGTTCACAAATTCAGAGCAAACATTTTCAAAGTTAAAAAGCAAAACGTACATGGTTTCTGACAGCATGGAATACAGACATTACAAGTGAGATTCATACACACAGCAACTTACAAGCAATTCCTAGAGTCTAAACACAACACATTCTTATAAGACTAATACCTATTTTGAGCAAATCCAGCACACACGTGAACTCTCTGGTCTCCAGCTGTGAGTTTCTCAGTTCTTAGCTAATACCTGCAGTCTTGGCAAGAGCTGGTACCTGGTTTGCCAGTGTCACGATGAGATTTACAAAATAAGGTTGCACAGTTACTGATAAAATTCATCCACGTTCTGAACCCACTAAAATATGGTTAAAGGGAAAGTGTCCCCTTAATCTGAGTCTCCGGCCTCCACCACTTTCCAGCAATCTCTTCACAACCCATCCTCCTTCACCATCCAATCACCCTCTTCCTTACTTCACATGGCATCCTTTGGGTAAGTCATCACACAAGGATTCAACATCTCCCCCCTTTCCTCAGCACAGGATCTCTCACCTCTTTACATTACTCCTAATGTCAGAAGCTTCCAGAGCTCTAGATGATTTCCAGTCCCTCCCCCCTTGGCAAGCTGCCTGCTGATCATACAGCTAGGGAGGTCTATCGGGCTCCTGTCCCATGTGGTGCTGGTGGGGGACACTGAGGCCTGGTGAATAAGATATCTTCCTGGTTCCTTTACCATGTCAGAGGATGGAGAGCCCATGATGTGGAAGTTGTTGCAGGTGCCTAGTATTATACAGCAAAATGTCAGACTCCAGTGATGTGACAGGGATCCAGGGGCTGTGAAAACCCCATCTGGGGTACTCTCCACTCAAGCCCATTGATGGAGAAGTTCTAGCTGCTACTGGGTGTGGCTCTAGCCCGGCAGGAAGCCTTGAGCCATCTGGGATTCTTGTCTCTTCAGACAGCACGGCGTGTCTCTTCCTTGCAGGTTATCCCGTTTCGTCTCCTCTCTGAGATCATGGGTGACCCGACATTTGCATCATGAAGACCAAAGGCCAGATTCTTTCCTTGAGCGTATCCGAGGGCCAGAGCTCAAAGAGGCGTCCAGTAGGGAAAGTAACACTCACTCCAATTTGAGCAACTATGAGCAGCCAGACAAAGTGAAAAGGTATGTTGATCCGATTGTCCTTTAGTGGGAGAAGAGTGGTCTTGGAGTAATCATGTTCTTTCTGTGAATGGGATGTGAGCATGCTTGGTTTTATTTGAGGACAGGAAATGAGTAGGGTAGCTAATACTCTCCAGAAACTTCCCTGAAAGTAATTTAAGTCCTCCAACTTCCAAGAAAACTGGAGAAAGCAACAGTGAGTACAGTCCAAGCTGAGGCTTCCCTAATTCTCCGGAAATCAGCATATCCAATTACATGAGTTTCAATAGAGTAGAGCTTAGCCAGCAATGGAACAGAAATAAGATAGAGCTGCTTAATAACTTTAATTTCTCTAGGGATTGTCATGCTAGGGTTTTTATACATAATTAGCTGAAGGTAACCATTGCTTTGGCAGGTCTCCCTAGATAAGCAGTGGAGGAGGGCATGATTCAGTTTGAAATTGTAGCTCTGTGGTCTTTGGCCTCACAGATGGAGGCACAAGCTCTCAGTTGCAGGTAGCTTGCAGAAGCACTTAGGTAAATAATACATTTTCCCAGCAGCTGATATAATATGGGATGCAACATGCAGATGATGTTGATACTTCTGCTACAACTAATGCATTCCGGCTGCTTTTGTTGGCAGTCATTGTGCTTGCTAGCAAATGTGCAACCCCAGCTTAGAAAAGCTATTTCTGTATTTGTTCATCGGTAAGAGTAACAAACCCAGTTCCTGAATGGAGAAAATAAATGCTTTGTCCCCTGAACCTCTGGTATGCCCCAGTTTCCTCACTTTTTCCCACTCTGCAGTGAGAAGCAGGTTATAGTGTAAACACCTATACTACACAATCCTATTCAAGCACTGAACAAACCAATGGTGTGAGCCTCACATGAATGATGATGATGAACACTATTTCCTTAAAATGTTTTCTTCCTCAAAAGCATGTTGGCAAGGGTTTCAGTAGTGACGTTTTTAGCTTACATTGCTTATGATATAACAGTCCCTTACACCTGGACTTTATTCTGAACTACTTGGAAGGAAAATACTTCCCAAAAGAGCACGTTGACATATGGTCAGCTTACCTGCTCTCACTCTGCTGCCCTATACTGGGGATGAAAGCAGTTCCCAGTGCAAAGACATTTAGAATCTGGATGTTAGCCTCTAGTGCAGGGGTGGGCAAACTTTTGGCCTGAGGGCCACATCTAGGTGGGGAAATTGCAGGTAGGAGCATGGGGTTGGGGTGCAGGAGGGAGGGAGCACGGTGTGTGGGAAGGGGCTCAGGGCAACCGGTTGGGGTGCAGGAGGGAGTGTGGAGTGCGGGAGGGGGCTCAGGGTAGGGGGTTGAGGTGCACAAGGGTTGTGGGGTGCACGAGGGGTCTCAGGGCAGGGAGTTGGGGTCTCAGGGCCGGGGGTTGGGGTGCAGGATGCAGGAGGGGTTTGGGGTGCAGGCTCTGGCCTGTGCCGCTTACCTTGAGCGGCTCCGGGGTGGCAGCAGTGTGCAGCGGGGCAATGGCCGGCTCCCTGGCTGCCCTGGCCCCACGCCGTGCTGCTTCCGGAAGTGGCCGGCACCACGTCCCCCCCGGCCCCTGGGGGAGGGAGAGCAAAGGGCTCCACCTGCTGCCCTCGCTTGGGGGTGCCTCCCCCAAAGCTCCCATTGGCCGCAGTTCCCTGTGCGGAGCCCTCTGCCCTGACCCCCACAGGGGCTGCAGGGACGTGGTGCTGGCCACTTCCAGGAGTGGTGCGGGGCCCACGGCGCCACGGGGGTGGCAGTCCCGCCGGCCGGATCCAAAGCCCTGACGAGCTGGATCCGGCCCGCGGACCATAGTTTGCCCACCCTTGCTCTAGTGCTTGGAAACTCCACTACAAGTATTTGTGTAAAATGCAGTAACACTTAATCATACCCACTCAAATATACCCTGTCAAATCACTGATAGGCTTCTGGTCCAGAAATCAGAATTTTTTTTTAGCTGAGTTGAGTCGTTAGAAGATGTTCGCTTATCTAAAATCTTTTTTTCAATAAATGAACGAATGCCTTCAAGCGAGCCCTTCTTGTGTTTCCAAGCTTTCTACTTTGCAAATGAACATAATACATGACTTAATTTTGTGGTGTAGACATGCACTAAGTCAACCTAACTTAAGTCAGCATACAGCCACTGCAGTAATTACATCATTTGTGTGCATCTACACTTTACTCCTTCTGTCGGCGGTGTGTGTCCTCACCAGGAGCACTTGCACCGATCGTACTGTCAGTGTGGGTCATTGTGGAATGGCTGCTGAAAGCCAGTAACAGTCGATGTAAGCAATACAGCGTCTACAACCTTTCCAGACTACTGTACCCCTTTCAGGAGTCTAAGTTGTCTTGCGCACCCACAAGTTTCACCTCACTTAAAAACTACCTGCTGACAAAATCAGACATAACAATACAGAAGTGTTACAGCACGCTATTACTGAAAAATTGCTTACTTTCTCATTTTTATCATATTATTATAAAATAAATCAATTGGAATATAAATATTGTACTTACATTTCAGTGTATAGTTGGTAGAGCAGTATAAACAAGTCATTGTCTGTATGAAATTTTAGTTTCTACTGACTTTGCTCGTGCTTTTTATGTAGCCTGTTGTAAAATTAGGCAAATATCTAGATGAGTTGTTGTATCCCTTGGAAGACCTCTGCGTACCCCCAGGGTACGTGTACCCTGGTTGAGAACCACTGATCTACACTGACGCTGTATTGACCTAACTACATCAACATTGACTATGCCTCTTGTGGGGGTGGAGTTATTAAGTCGATGTAGTGGGGCAGTTACATCAGCAGGAGCGAAATTTTAGTGTAGAAACTTACATTGGTCAACGTAAGCTACCTTGCATCGACTTAACTCTGTAGTGTAGACCAGGCCTTATTGGCCTAAATTACCCCACACAGCTGGCTAAAAAAAATGTTGCGGTTTGTTAAAACACAGTGATGGAACTTAACTTTTTGGCAGGCTCATTACTTTGAAGCTCAGGCTCACCTAGTTTGTGGCACAGTCTGAGATGGGTAAGGATTTTAGTTTGAATTTGCAGCTGGTAATTCATATTATAGTGAACATCACACAGATTTGCGGCAGATCGATACAGTTCCATCTTTACTGAAACTGCTTCTCAATAATTCAAGCTTGGAAACCGTGTATTTCTTTGCATGTCTAATATATTTTGTCTGATTAGTCATGCTACTATCTTCTAGTCACTCAAGTCAACAGCCAAGAGATTTTCTGATTTCTGCATCAGGAGCCCATTAGTGTTCTGATTCAAAGCCATTAGAGTGGAGAAAACTGGTCTTGTGCCAACAATGTTATTTCTTTAGATACCCAGTCTCCCCATCTCAGATTACACTGCTGTTACCATGTGACAGCAGCTCCGAATTGTTGTCACATTATGGAGAGTTAATTTTGCAGCAACAGTAGGCATTTCTGCTATCTGTCCAGGATTCTTGGCACTGCTTCTGTAAAGAAGACTTGAAAGGCTTGAGAAACACACATAAGAGCAGCCAAATGGGAACGCTGCTATAAATAGCGAGATTCATGCTGTCAAGCATTAATACGCATGAGAGTATGCTAAAGTGCTTCACACATCTGACATGGTCACAAACGTGTATGTTCTGCACGTGATCAAGGGCAATTGGTGCCCTGAATAGTTATGCAAAGGGGCTTACAGCGGCGGTCAAAGTTGACCCTCTTAATCTTTTCAGAATGTGTGTAGACTGAACTGCTGTTCCTATCATGTTGGTAAACCTGTGCACAAAATGTCCAAGGCTTTCATATTGTTCCTTTACTGTGCTCTGTTTAACTTGCTACAGTCACTGGTCCCTGGCCAGATTTAATGTCAACAACAGCAACAACACCAATGAAGAGTAAGTACATCACTGCTTGCTTCATGGTACCTACTTGCTTGTGATGTGTCAGCTTCTTACCCTCTTCTCTGTTCAAAACATGTTAGTGACAATTGTAGCTATAGACTCCTGCTTATCTTTTTCCAAGCACCTTCCTGATATATGGCTGTAGAGAAAGATCTAGTTTTGTAGGTCATGGAAATATCCCTGTGTTTCCAGGAGAATTCTTTGTGTGCTAACTTGAAGGGCAGCTTCCCTCCTTTTCCTCCACCCAGTCCGAGCAAACAGCTCCCTAGCCCCCTCCTCTTCAAATTCAGGCTGGCTGATTTTGCAGCTTTGTTAATGGGTTTGTTAACATTTAAACTTATGAATGAGAGAACTGTATATTCTTTTTTAACAGTGTTCTCTTTTTTATTGACACACGGGGCTTTGCTTCCAAATCAAATGTTCAAGTACCTTCAGGTTGTCATCTGGTTAAAAGTTGATATTGAGCAGGTTATGCGGAAGTTCTGGATGCACTCAGTGTAAATCAGGATGGAATGTCTTTCTAAAAGATATGCTTTAGCTAAACCAAAAGTCGTTGGGTAGGTGCAGGAATTGCTTGGTGAAATTCTATGGCCTGTGTCATTCAGAAGGTCTTACAGAAATGATCACAACGTTTCCTTCTGGCCTTGAAATCTGTGGAAGTGATAGGGAATAATAACGCTTTAGATTTCAGAGGCTAATTAATTCCTTCAAAGGAAGAGAGCTCTAGAAAATGTGTAATCTGGAATCACTCCACCCTGCTGTTGATAATGGCTCTTGCCCTCTAGCTCTGGGAATGGCACAGCATCCAGCAGCAGTTTTGTTCCTGCCATGACGCTAGTCTAGTTTTTCATTTCCTCCCTGGGTAAAAACAAAATAAAAAATCCCCAGGACCAAAAGGGAATTCTTCTGATCATTTTAGGCCATATTAGAAACAGAGGAAATTGCTCCTATTCCGCCAAACAATTAATTGTTGAGCAATACACTGTGAATTTAAAATGATAAATTCTCTGAAAACTTCTTTCCAATTCAAAACCCCGTACTTACACTTGGGAGAAATTCTTACTTCTCTTTCAGTGATTTTTTTTGTTTGTTTCTGTGTGCTCGATTTAAAAATAAGTGTCATGTGTGCTACAACAAAGCCCCAAATCCTTAGTATTGGGGGCAATTACTGTAGAACAGTAATCGTAGAACTAAAAGTGCAAAGCATGGTTAGGTGGTCAGGGCACAGGACCGAGAGACATAAATTCTGAATTCTGATCCCATTTCTGGCCGTGACTCATGTTGTGGCCTTGCACCTGTCACTCAACTATTGGTGCTACAGGTTCTCCAAATGGAGACAATGCTTACTTACCTTACAGGGGTGTTGTGAGGAAGAGTTAGTTGATATGTAGAGCAGTTTAAAGGTGAAAAACATTATGTAAGCATTGCATTTTATTGATTACTATAGTAATATGATTATAATGGTAAAGGCTGGCAAGTCTTTCCCAGACTGCAGGGACGTCTGTTCCCTCTATATTCAGGAGAAACTGGCCAAAAGACCTTTCCATTTCCTTTAGTCAAAGGGAATAGACATGAATATCCTTTCAAATGATTACCTGAATGCTGCTTCAGAGGAAATAAACTGCAGGTGTTGTTAACGCTCCATGTTTGTCAAGATGGAAGGGGCAGCAGAGTGCCCACTCTTGGGGCAGTGGAGATGAGGTCTTCAAATCTGCAAGTATCCTGCAGGGGCTGTGCTTGCTCTCAGGATAGAGGAAAGGAGTGGCCTGTCCTTTCCTTTGACTCAAGTGGCGAGCCTTTAGAGTGCTTTTGCATTGTGCTAACATTGCTGTAGCAATAGCTGCTGTGTTTTAGAGCAGGGAGATAGATAGAGCAGTGTCTGAACAAAGAGGTGAGTGAATCCAGCCCCCAGTGAATACCTGTAGTAAATGGATAGGGTCAGGGGAAATTCCATCCCCAAATACAATAAAAACAGCCATCTGCTGATGAGTGGGTTAACTACTGATTTTTGTCAAAGCACCCTCTCCATGGTTCAAAGGCGCGGATACATTTTGGTTGCTTAGCCATGTCAAATGAATCTTCCTTGCATCATCAGGCTCATAAATGTGCAGCAGCACAGCTCTTTGAAAAAGAAACGTTCTGCCCTCATTATACAATCACCCCTGGGAGCCAAACACGTGGAGTGTCATGGACCTGTGCGTTGATACAAGTAGTGGTTATGAATGGGGTTCATGTCATACACAAAAGCATGGTAGCTTGCTTTCAGAATGGATAATGTGATACCCAAGAGTGTTTCTGAATGGCATAGAGCTTTGTGGGGATGGCAATATTTCAATTTAAAATGCAATCACACAAGATCAGGAGGCTAATGGTAAGGAAAATGAACTTGTGAATAGCACCCTCTGCTGTTGTGCTAGCCCTGCTAAGGTGGGTTGACGTGCAGCGTCTTATTTGATTGGCCTTATGTTTAGGAGCCCTTTTGATTAGTCAGACAATCAACACAAAGGCTAGTTTTGCCCTATAGTTGTGCTCCCTGGATTTTCATGGGCATCAGTGAAGTTTCACTGTGTGTGTTGACTATGCTTAAGCCTGGTTTGATGAACATTTAAAATAACCTCTTGGAGAATGCAAACAGGGATGGTTTTAGGATTTTCAATCCCCCCAGCAGCATAAGGCAGGGGTCTTCCAAATAACACTGCTCTGCTGCATCACAATGGGGGTGTGGTGGTAGCAGTATCAGGGCTTATGTTTATTACCATTGGGTAAGGCCTATTTCCAAGTCAATTGCACTTATCTTAAAATTAGTGAATATCTCTTCACACTGTCGTCCTGTCCCTTAAAATACTGTAATCTCGCTAAAATTGGTATGTTCTTAGGTAACCCTACAAAGCGCAGCATAAGCTTTCTCTGCTGTGAGAGGCATACACAAGAACATGTGGTGAATAAACGTGATGTGAGCTCATGGCATTTTTCCCTGCTGTGCCCATTGGCTAAGATCCTGCAAGTAGGATTTTTCTACATGCCTCTCTGTTAGGTGATTCTGCTCTCGTATACTCTAGCTTCACACTGGAGTGATTCAGTTCACTTGAATAAATTTACTCCTGATTCACACTGGTGTGAGAGCAGAATCAGAACTAGGGCTTGTCCACACTGGCAATTTACAGCTCTGCAACTTTCTCGCTCAGGGATGTGAAAAAACACCCCCCTGAGTGCAGCAAGTTTTGGCGCTGTAAAGCTCTTGGAGATGGGGTGGTTTTTTTAGGGCACTGGGAGAGCTCTCTCCCCGTGCTCTGAGGTGACCACACAAGCCACATAAAAGCGCTGCCAGTGTAGACTAGTTCCTAGTGTGTGCAGATCAGAGTGGAACAGACAGCCACCCTGGGAGGAAAATGTTATGTCTGCCACCCAAGCCACAGCTTGTATGTAGAGTTTTAGACTTGCAAGGGGCCCATTTACATTGAACTGTCAGGGATATTGATGCTTTCCTAACTGAAGCATGGGGACACTGTCTACTTCAGGGGGTGGGGAGGGGGGGAATCTTAAATACAACATTGTATGTGGAAATTTTGGGGGGCAAATTCTTTGTTGGTATAAATTGATACAGTTCCATTAACTTTAGTGGAGTTTCACCATTTACACACAAAGAATTTGGCCCCAAATTTAAAGATAGATCAAGTAGTGGCAAAATTTTAGCAAATAATTTCCTTCCAATCTGAAAAAGGTTTCTTTGTCTCTGTGGTAAATGGAGACATACCACCACAACCTGGATTTGAACAACCCCAGACTTTGGTTGCTTCCTCTATACTGGGCTGAAGCAGAGCCCCAGATCTGAACTGTACAACAGTTTGTATCTGGACCAGAACCTTGCAGCTTGGGTCTACCTCTTATGCTGTTGAATGTCAGGAAATAACAATGTGAAGAGATAGCAGTGGTAGAATGTCATTTGTTTATTTACGTTTATTTGTCTATGAAACAATTAATAAATGTGAGGTGAAAACCTGGCCCATTGAAATAAATGACAAAATTCCTATTACTTCTAGCGGGTCAGAATTTCACCTTTCATGTTCAGATTTTGAATAACATTGCTGTGCTGAATAGACAGCACAAGCTTGTTTCCACGTTTTGGTTGGCTTTGTTCAAACATTGGCTATGGCTCTCCTCTTGCACTAGTGTCAGTCAGGAGTAATTTTAATTGGAGTTACACAGGTGCAAAACAAGTGTGAGAGGAGGATCTGACCCTTTTTACTTAATCACCATCACAGCTTTAAACAGGCAGTCACTGCTGTTGGGGTTAGAGTATGTCAAAGGACCAAGCAAATCTTGAGACTGTCAAACCATTTCAAGTTCTAATGCCATGAAATAGAAGTTTTTGACTGCCTGAATTTTAAAGAGTCAAGCAAACGGGAAACATTTCACTATAAACAAAGAAAACACTGTTGTATTTACTTGCTTGATAAAGCATGGGTTAATCTCTCACAAAATCAGCCAAGATGATTTAGTACCACGCTACTGTTAATTCTGGAGCGTAGACCATATAATACACGTCCCATTTATACCAAATGGGTGGATGGCCTACTTGAGAACCCCTGCCCGCTCCTCTTCTGTAGGAGCAAAACCCAGCTCTGTAGCCTCCTTTATCCCACCTCAACTTCCATCCTCTAGCCTAGCTTAGCCTGGTAAACTGGGAACATTGCTAAATAATATGCTATGTTACACAGCAAGAATAAAGAAAAGAAAGAGGCTAAGGAGGAGAAAAAAGAAGAAAAAAAGGAGGAAAAGAAAGAGGAGAAAAAAGACGACAAAAAAGACGATAAAAAAAAAGAGGAGTAAGTATTACTAGTGAAAGTGTGGTTGTAACACACCTTCTGCACCATAGAGCCTTACATGGAGTAGTTAAGTCTTCAGAGCAAGGCTCCTGCTACAGTCAGTGTTTCCCCAGGCCGCAGGGGTGTTCTTGAGTCAAAGCTATAATAAATTTCCAAATTTGAAACTGTGCAACTGCTCAAGGAACTTGCAGCATCTTCCCACGCATACAGTCCTGTCCTTGGCACCTTCCTAATGCTTTGTTGCACTAACTTCAGACCAGGAGTAGTGGAAGCTCCCTAAAAGGGGGAAGGGGCCACCAGTACCCGAACCATGGCCCCTCCCCACACTGCCCCTTTTTCCCAACGCCCTGTATCCACGCCGTCTTTCTCACCAAGCTCCCGTCTTTGCGCTGTCCCTTCCCCCCAAGGCCACGCCCCCATCCTGCCTCTTCCCCCAAGACCCGCCCCCTGCTCGCTCCTCTCCACCCCATCGCTCATCCTTACATCCGGTAAAGTGATGGGGCCATGGCCCTCTGCGCCCCCCCCCCCCCACCTATTCTGGCACTCCTGCTTCACACTCAGCAGTAAAGGTAATTCAAATGATCTCTGATCACGTGAGAAGGCAAGAAATTGCCTTCTCTATCAGGCCGTATTAGTTAACAGCAGTCTCCTTTGTAAGTCTGTACAGGCTTGGTCATGGTTCATAATATCTATAGGGTCAAGTTGGGGCACAGAACAAAAACATTATATTTATACAACTACAGACCAATTCAACATCTTCAGTTATATTTTCCATTATTTACCCTACTGTGAGCAGGAGCAACAATGTGGTTGTGATTTCTTACATCAAGCAGCGCATTTGGAACGTAGTGTTAAGTAAATAGACAATTGTTCCCTAATTAGCAATTTATAAACTCTGTTCCCATTGATCAGGGTTGGCTTTAGTTCAATGCCATGTAAAGAAGAAAAGATGGAAAGAGAATGAGTGTTCAGAATGAAAGCTGGTTTTGAGGGGTGTGGTATAATGAATACATCACAGATGTGTGTAGAGTATGCTGTAGGTACCATATTACTGTAGTATCCCTAGTGAAGAATGCCACTTCTGGATGGATTCTTTCTGATCCCAGGACATAGATTCTTCTCTCTTAACCAAAACTTTGTTCTAGAGGAAGCTCTGTCTACCTCCCACAGTGGGGTGCAGTGGGGTCTGTCCTTTCACACAAGTCTAAGGTTCTTTGAAACAAACCAGAAGAGAAAAGAATGGGATTGACTTATATGAGAAAGGGGTATTCTTTTGAGAGTGCAAAGTAGGCAGTGACCTCTTTGACTCAAGGAATGGGGTTATCACAATTTTGTTGTGGCTTTTAGAAGAAATTGGTAAAAATTCATGGCTGGTGGGAAAGGTAAATAGGTTGATTTTCAGTTTTAAAAGAAGGGCGCCCATACTATGAATGTGCAGAATTGGGGTTTTTAATGATAGCAAGGGTTTCAGATATGTTATTTTGACATCTGTGTACATTTTTCTAGTTCCTTTTGATTTCCATGGAATTTGGGCATGGAGGAATAGACTGATTCAAATGAGAAAAGCTTCAGCTGCTGTACTGAGTAATATCTGGGATGTCGGCAAGGATGGCACATCCTTTGGTGCTATGCCTTTGTCATTAACTGAGCTGCAACCATTACGATCTACTAGAAGGGTGTTCAGCCTTGGAGATCAAAAACGTGACCTCCTTATGGAAATAATTTCCCCCAGTGTACCTCTGCATGTTTTACTTTTCAGGAAGAAAAAGGAGATCTTTGTGGTTGATCCTTCAAGCAACCTGTACTATAGGTGGCTGACCATAATCGCAACACCAGTATTCTATAACTGGTGTATGCTAGTGTGCAGGTATGGATTTTACATTTAATGGTTCTTTTAGGCTGCAGAAAGGGTGCCTGGCATGTCTGAAACTGGAAAAGCCCACCTGATTCTTTTATTTTAATATAGTGCCCAGACTTTTTCTTCCCCATTACTGCTGCTGCATTGCTCATTCCCTAATTAGTTTTCTTGAGGATATGCGCTTTTTTTTAATTGTTTAGGGTTATGTGTCAGACATCTGTTCCAAATCGTTTATTCTGGTTTCTGTTCTTCTAAAGTACATGTATATAATATACATACACACCTACATATGTACATCACATATGTGGAAATGATATCTATGGGATAAAATTAAGAGTCCCATACATATATCATGTACTGTACTTTGGACTGCCTGCACTCCGCTCACTAATCTGTCCCCCCGAACAGATTAAAACAGCTGCCATTACCCTCCACCTCCCACAAATAGCCCAACAAGCCAGATAAAAGTTCTACTCCTCTCTCTCGGGGTGCAGAACAAGTGAGCACTGCATCAGTGACCAGATTATGCTAGGAGAATTTTGCCACCAATCATGGCTATGAACAGGAGCTCTATACTGGTGATGAGAGGAAATTCCAGAAAGATAGAAATTCTTGCTGTGCCTTTAGCCTAAAAGGCCCCAAATTCCCTGGGCCTTAAAATCCTGATATTCTGTATAAAAATGCTATTTTAGGTGATTTTTGAAGTGTTTTTTTCTCTCTCCACGTCTGTATATTTGGACTCATGATCCTAACGAAGCCTGTTGTTCCAGGCAGAGGGAGCTGAAAATATTAACAATAACATTTAAGGTATTTTCTTAAAATAGTTTTTCTGTATTTTTTTTAAAAAAAAAGTGCCCCTCCACACACTGGATGGGGCACTATCAAGATTTTCTCAGCGTTCATTTGGAGTTACTTGCAGAACTTACTGCTAAACTCATGCTGTTAAAACCTTTATACCACATCACACCATTATGCATTTTCTTTCTTTTTCATTTTGTACAAAAAACATAGCATTCTTGTTAAAAGCTGTTTCTTCGTTATGCAGTGTAGTTGTAGCCTTGTCAGTCCCAGGATGTTAAAGAGACCAGGTAAATAAAGTATTATCTTTTGGTGATATCAACTTCTGTTCGTGAGAGAAATAAGCTTTTGAGCCACACACAGCTCTTTCTTTCACCAACAGGAGTCGGTCCAATAAAAGATATTACCTCACCCTCCTTGTGTCCCTTCTTTTGAGGCAGCTTTAAAAGACTAACAATCCTGATACTATATTAGATTGCTTAATGTGGAATTTAATTCCTTCATAAGAGACCAGGCTGGGGACAGGCATGACTTGGAAAATACTGAACCATTAATGGTCTTAGCATCTGTGAGGGATGGTCTAGGTTTACTTGGTCCTGTCTTAGGCCAGGGGGCTGGACATGCCCTCTCAAAGACCCTTCCAGCCCTACATTTCTGTGATTCTATGATAGGTTGAGAAGACCCCTCCATTCTCTTTTTTTCAATTCTAAATCTCTGCTTTTGTGAAACAAAAGCTGAGAATGTGCATTTCATGCTTTATGCATTTTCATCGGAGCCCAGAGTGCCTGTCATTGAAATGTTCTCTTCCTTCCTGGGACAGAAGTTTGATGACCACTTGCTAGGTGCCATCAGGGGCAGTTATAGCAGAAGATGCAGTTTTACTCTTACAGATGAGGGGTTGGCTGGTAGTTACTGGACTTTATTCCAGTTTTATTTTCTCATTAAAGGTAGCATTTAGAAGTGTCCAATTTTGGTTAATTCCCCATTGGATCATTCTATTTCCCAATAAAATTTCTTGGGTAACTTTGCATAGAACCCCTTTGTATAGTTCATTCATACATCTTCTATATGAGATAAGATTTGTGGCCTGATGATTTTTGTGTCTCTGCCTGAAAAGTCTTTGACTTGCAGCAAGCATTCCCAAATCTGTGCCTGCAGTGGCATCTGTGTGCCATCTAGTGGCTACAGTACAAGGTGACACTAAGCCAATGTATTTCTCTAGTCATTGTTACCATTTATGGAGAAACTTATGGTAGTCAATACAGGGATAGATAGGCTGGGGGATGGCAAGCAAGATGTGGGAGTAGGCAGAGAAGAGTCATTTAAAATTAGTATGAGGAATTTCGACATAGCTTTTCCTCTAATGGCAGGAAGATATTACTGGAGTATGTGAAATGGACAATGGGACTCAATGTGTCAGATCACTTAGCCTCTGGGAGGCATGTGAGATGGTGTGCCCTGTGTCACTCAGGAGCAAACGTTCTTCCAGTTGATCCAGGAATTAACTTGATGGGATCCGAATGAATTCTGTACAGTCCTCCTCTGCTTGCAGATCTGATGCTGTGATGTGGGATCTTGAGGATCTGTGCTGAGAGGGCTGATGCAGAGTAATGTGTGTGGGATATGTGTATATATGTGAAATTTGTCCTTACCGTGTAAGACCTTTGGTTTCAGAAATATCCCATTATGTTAAATCACGACATTTAAGTTCACAGCAAATACTCCAGTGCAGACATGATGCCCACAGCCTGTGCAGTGCCAGCAACAGTTGCTCAAATGCTTTTAGAATATACATACAGTACTCGCTGCGCCTGCTCGTACCAGAGGAGTGAAATCTTCCATGCTTTTGTGTTTGTGTAGAGCCTGTTTTGATGAGCTACAAACTAAGCATATTATATTATGGCTGGTCTTGGACTATAGCTCAGATATCCTCTACATACTGGACACGCTCGTCAGATTCAGGACAGGTGAGTCCTCTTAGAATTTTACATTGTTTTCAGACCTAACATGGGTTATGCCCTACTGGATCAGTATGCCGGTGGCCCATATAGTTCAGCATCTTGTCTCCAACCGCATCCAAAACTCTATGCTTCTGAAGAAAACACAGGAAACTCTGAAGTGGGAAATTATGGAATAACCTGTGTTTAGGGAAAGCTTTTCCTAACGCTCCTCAATTAGAGATTGATTTATTCCCTTCCAAATTTAAATAAAAACAAAACAACCCTATATACTATAATAGTGGGTTTTTTTTAATCTATATAAATGTTGAGTACTGTCTTTTAATCCTGCTAATGTCTTGGCATTAATGATAGTTTGTGGCAATGAATTCTACAGGCTAATTATTCTCTATGTAAAAAAGAGTATCCTATGAGGCGACGGAGCCAGTTTGCCTGCAAAAGTGCTGTGAAAGCCTCTGCTTAGAACTTTCCTCTTGAAGTGGGTTGGAACCAGAACGGCTGTGTGCAACCAAGCAAATGACATCAGTAAAATGGTGACCACCGTTGCAGGGGGGAGGTAAAATCTGCTGTTGCCTTGGGAGACATTTTAAACAAGTCACAGCAGAAAGTAAACTCGTAGCCTCCTTATCGTTTAAATTTAGCAAGTAACTTATTTAACAAATCAGTGTATCTCAGATAGATATCTGAGATATCCTTAAGACTTAGATTCATTTGGCTTCACCTTATTTCCACAAGAGGCCAACCATACCCCAAAAGATTCCCTTTTGCAGTGATTTCTAACAATTGAGGAGAAGATGGGAGTTCATTAGTACTGCACAAGGGATACAAATGCAGTCGTAGACTTTGCATGGGACTATTCTGATTAGGATTGTAAGGCTATCAAACCACAGCTAAAATGCTGACTCAACAGTCCTGGGTTGGGATTGCAGAAATGCTATTGTGAGTCATTTAGTCACTTCAGTGCAGGCATCTGCAGTGGTTTTTGTGAAGTGGTAGAATGTGGAAGTGTTCTTTTAAGTGCTGTCATTGAAAAAGGCCATTCTAGGAGTGCAGGGCCATGGAAGGAGGAACATACTTTAGAGAGCACTGGAGTGGTTAATTCAAAGTACAGCTGACAAGGAGAGGACAACAGGGTGGTCTGGAGGAATCAACGTGAGACTGGAAGCCATTCATCTCTCTGCCATATTTCAGCAGTCTGTGAGATAAGGGAAATAATGCTTAACCACTTACCCCAGATGGTGTTGGGAGTATTAGTCAGTCAACATCTGTACAGTTCTTTGACGGTACTATATAAGTGATAAATATTATTTAAAATAACTTTGACTTCCGGCAGATTGAACCTGAACTACTCAGACTTAATACGTTACTTTGTGGTGATTTATAATGGATAGACAGACTCCTCATCGCTCAACCCAAGACCTGTGTTTGAAATATAAATGGTACTAACAATAACAACCTTTTAGCTCAAATACTTCAGCGGCTGCTTTACAGATCACTGTAGTGGCAGATTCCTAACAGACAGGAATTACCCTTCTATGAAAAGGGCTGAAAAAATGCTGCTGTGTGCACCACTAATTTACTGCAAGGGGACTCAAGCAATATTTTTATTAGGTGTATAAGACTATCCTATCTGGTCAGATCACTGGCCCATGTACTCCTGTTTCCCACTGCACCCGGTATCTGATCATTCATAATGCACGTAGCCAATTGTGCAGTGTAGTAGAAGAGGAGATCCCCTGATCCTCGCACGTGATCCTCTTTGCTGTGAAGAAATGACTTGTACATTTCTAAAACCTTCCAAAAGCTGCTATACAGGAAAGGTGTTGCTGTACTATCAATAGGATTTTCCCCCTGCAGGGGCTAGTTGAGAATCATCTGGATGTGTATTCTCCTTGCATCTTCAGTAACCACTACGCAACTCAACTGTGTTTCTTAGATTCTGATTGTGTGTAGTTCCCCTTGGAACACTGTTGCAATCTAGGTCTTTCAGAATTGACAAATAGCCCTGCAGCTGTACTGCTGAGGAATCCTATTACTGTAAGAGTAGAGCTGGCTTTTCAGGTTCTCCCATTCCCCAGTACACAACTGCACTGATTTTAAAGTTGGTTGCATTTTCTCATATTTCTTAAAAATTTAAATGTTGCTGTAATCTTTGGTATAAAGAAAAGTCAGTATTTGTATATATAAATGATCTGATCAAAAGATGAACCAAGAGCAAGAAGCCAATAAAGGGGAATATTACATGGGTTGAATCTTGTCAAATATTTATTTGTATCTGCAAAATACAGGTTTTGCATGAAGAAAATCAATAAAGTAAGATAATTACCTTAAGGCACCTTATAGCATGGCCACTGATTGTATCTAAACACTGAGGCCCAGATCACCAAAGGTATTTAGGCACCTAACTCCTATTGTTTGGGAGTTAGGCAGCTATGTACCTTTGATGATCTGGGCCTGACTTCTCGTTGGCTGGTTGGGTATTTGGAGGAAGGGGGGATATAATTGTGTTTAAACCCACAACTGAATCACATTTACGTACTACATTTATGCACATTTATGCACAATAAATATCTGCATGAGGAACAAATATTTAATAATGGGCTGTTCAATTGAGCAGAGAAAGGTATAACACAATCCAATGGCTGGATATTGGAGATAAGGTGTAAATTTTTAACCGTAAGAGTAATTAATCACTGGAACAATTTACCAAGGGTTGTGGTGGATTCGCCATCACTGTCTATTCTTAAGTCAGGGTTGGATATTTTTCTAAAAGATCTGCTGTAGGAATTATTGTGAGGAAGTTCTATGGCCTGTGCTAGACGGGAGGTCAAACTAAATGATCACAGTGGTCCCTTCTGGCCTTAGACCGTGTGAATCTATAAGTGTTTATTTTTGGTAGAAAATGCTCAGTGAATCATTGTAATAGTCTAGTTGGCACTGGTTGTTCAGAGAGTAATAATAATACGTAACTCTTTTATATAACACTTCTCATCAGTAGATTTCACAGAACTTTACAAAGGTCAGTATCATTTATCTCCATTTTACAGATGGGAAACTGAGACAATGAAAGGCAAAGTGACCTAACTGAGGTCACCCAGCAGGCCAGTGGCAGGTCTCCTGAGTCCCAGACCAGTGCTCTGTAAGGTCTGTAGGAAATAAATAAATCTTCCCTGACTGGTTAGAGCATTAATTTTAATTAAGATTTCATTTAAAAAGTTACATAAAGCCATCTTCAAATGATGTCACTCAAATTACCAACATCAAGACTATCTCACGTATACTTTAATGGACCAAATGTCAACCCAGTAGTTTCCATGACTGGCTCTTTTTTTCACTCATAATTTTTTTGAGAGATTGTAAATGTCTCACTGAAACACAAACAAAAAAAAAGTCATCTCCCCAAAAAGAAAAACACTACCCCACCTTAATCTTTGGTACAAGAAGAAAATCACGGATAATTAAAAAAAAAAATCTATGCTGTTATGTTAGGGTCTCACTAAATATTGGTTGCATTCTACTATATGCTGCGTATTCTAAGATTTCATTTGACAACCTTAAAGCCCTGATCCTACAGACAATTACACATGTGAGTAGTCCCACTGAAGTCAGTGGAATTAGTCACATGAATAAAGTTAAGCATGAGTTTGCAGGATCAATTTCCATCCTTTTTTATTGCAAAGATACAGCCATCACAGCATAAAGGAGACATGCTGCTGCTCTGTAACCCAGCCATGCAGAAAGCTGCCCAACAATAAGAGGGTTAACCCCCTACCGTGCCTCTTCACCTCAATTATCGTGAGCTTCAAAAACTAACTGGGGCTGATTAAAACAGGGTCAATGTCTTTCTCTTTTCTTCAAACAAAACTGTGAAAATTAAACGCAAAAACTACATTCAGGCCACATTCAGTTAGAGCAGTTAAAATCATAAGAAGTCAGAAAATACAAAAGTTGAGGTTACCAGAGGAATGTGAGCTTAGCCATGTTACACATACATAGTAGTGTCTAGTTCCTTATTTTCCTGCTTAAATGTTTAGCTTAATATCTTATTGTTTATGTTGTATACCATAAAACAAACTGGATGCACAACATGTCTGAAGCATTACTTCAGATGGAACATAATGGTTGTCTGGCTTTTTGTGATCTTTAACTGTGCAGCCACACCTTAATATTGATGTAACTTTGTACATTTAGTATTGAAAACAAGTGGGAAGCTCCTGCTGAAGTCAATAAGGGAGGCCTTTGTGTATCCAAGGAGCAGAATTTGATCAGCTATTTCATATTATATATTTAAGTACTATAAATATATTTAAAATATAGATTATTTTTTCATATTGTGTCACGTATTTGTCTGCATCACTAAGCCCAAGTTATTCACTTAAATCGGGAGAGGAGTATTGGTCTTGTGGTTAAGGCTAACACTAGATTGCAACTTTCTAGAGTGCAGTTCCCAGTTGTGCCGCCGACTTGCTGTGTGACCTGGAGCAGGTCGCTTAGGGTGTGTCCACACTGCTATTAAAAACCTGTGACTGGCCTATGCCAGCTGACTCAGGCTCATGGGGCTTGTCCTCATGGGGCTGTTTATTTGCAGTGTAGAGGTCAGGCTGGATCATGGGCTATCGGGTCCTGCGAGGGGTGAGGGTCCCAGAACTTGGGCTCCAGCCCAGTCCAAGCCCTAATGTTTACACTGCAATTAAACAGCCCCCTAGCATGAGCCCTGCAAGTCCAGCCATGGGTGTCTAATTGTCTAATTGTAGTGTAGACATACCTTTAGACACTGATTTTGCTATCCTTACACTGAAGAGCATCTTAATCCATAGACTTCAGTGGGACTAATCATGGAATAAAGTGCTATTCAACGTGAGGAAGAGTATCAGAATCTGGTCCTTTATCGCTGTGAACATCAGGGGGTAATAATGCTCCCACTCCTGGTGTGGCTTATCTATTTGGACCCTGATCCTGCAATGAGATCTGCACAGATAGAACCAACACCCACATGGAGCTATACTGACTTCATTAGGGCTCCATGTTTCAGTGGTCCAAAGGATTGTCTCTGTGAGTTTGGGGGCCTTTATACTGTAAGCTCTTTGGGGCATGTACTGTCTCTTAGTGTATATCGAATGCTTATCACAATGGAGCCCCAGTCATGGTTGAGGACTCTGTGCTTTTGTAATTTTTCTACTACTACTAAATATAAAGCTTATACAATATCTTGTTATGAAATATACCAGAAACCTATGGAAAGTACACTAATGTCCATATATATTATGATAAGTTTAAAATGTAATAATGTCTTCAGTATTTGCAAGCAAATAAGAATCCTTCAGTCATATGCTGCTGGCTGTTTCTGACTAATTGTAGGTTTGTGGCCCAGCTTTGTAATGTATTCTAACAAAAAACTGTTGTTTTTTTATTCTCTTAAGGCTTTCTTGAACAAGGTTTACTAGTCCAAGATGAAAAGAAATTAAGACAACATTACACTACAACTGCACAATTCAGATTGGATATGCTCTCTCTGTTACCAACAGACCTGGCATATTTAAAACTAGGGTTTAATTACCCTGAACTACGGTTTAACCGCTTGCTGAGGTTTGCCAGGCTATTTGAGTTTTTTGACCGCACAGAAACCAGGACAAACTATCCAAATATGTTTCGGATTGGAAATCTTGTCTTGTACATTCTTATCATCATCCACTGGAATGCATGTATATATTTTGCAATTTCAAAGCTTATTGGGTTTGGAACTGACTCCTGGGTCTATCCCAATGTGACCCATCCAGAATATGGACGTCTGTCCAGAAAGTATATTTACTGTTTGTATTGGTCAACACTGACACTGACGACAATTGGAGAAACTCCGCCTCCGGTGAAAGATGAAGAGTATCTCTTTGTGGTCATTGACTTCTTGGTGGGTGTGCTGATCTTTGCTACCATTGTCGGTAACGTAGGATCTATGATTTCAAACATGAATGCCTCCAGGGCAGAGTTCCAGGCCAAAGTTGATTCCATAAAACAGTATATGCATTTCCGAAAGGTGACAAAGGATTTGGAGGCCAGGGTCATTAAATGGTTTGATTACCTCTGGACCAACAAGAAAACAGTAGATGAGAAGGAAGTTCTTAAAAACCTTCCTGACAAACTTAAGGCTGAAATTGCTATTAACGTCCATCTGGACACGCTAAAGAAAGTGCGTATCTTCCAGGATTGTGAAGCTGGGCTTCTTATTGAGCTGGTGCTGAAGCTGAGACCTACAGTCTTTAGTCCTGGAGATTATATATGCAAAAAGGGGGATATTGGGAGAGAAATGTACATCATTAAGGAGGGGAAGTTGGCTGTGGTGGCAGATGATGGCATAACACAGTTTGTTGTCCTAAGCGATGGCAGCTACTTTGGTGAAATCAGCATCTTAAACATCAAAGGTAGCAAATCTGGTAACAGGAGGACAGCCAACATCAGGAGCATTGGTTATTCCGATCTATTCTGTTTGTCCAAAGATGATTTGATGGAAGCCCTCACTGAATATCCTGATGCCAAAAAGGCATTGGAAGAGAAAGGGCGGCAAATTCTGATGAAGGACAATTTAATAGATGAGGAGGCAGCAAAAGCAGGAGCTGACCCTAAAGACTTGGAAGAAAAAGTGGAAAGACTTGAAAGCGCTCTGGACAATCTACAGACTAGGTTTGCTAGGCTCATGGCAGAATACAACTCAACCCAACTGAGAGTAAAGCAGAGACTCACTAGAGTGGAAAACAAAGTGAAGAAATATGGAAGTGATTCCTTATCTGATGGAGGGGAAGAGTCTGTAAAAACTGAGGAAGTGGAGAAAAAGAATTAATAGCTCATTTATATTTCTCATTTAATCTAGAATATTTCAGCATGGAAAGCCATAAATATATATAAAAACATATTATATATGTGAAAACACTCACACACATGATTATTTTTATATGGACTCCAAGAGAATGGCTTTTAGAGTTGTTAATTAAAGGAATATTTTCTTGTAAATAGGAAATTGTTACCTTTTATCTTGTTTTTAGGAAGAGACTTTGGATTGCTATTTGGGTCTTTTTTTGTACTGATGACGACATGTTACTTACGAGTTGTGCTCAGATTATCTTTAATGTGGTATGTATAGATCTTGACACATTTAATTGTTGTTTATGCTCTTGTTGAAGGAATCATGTGTAAAGTAATGGACGCTTCCAGAAAGAGGAGACAAATCTGTATTAATAATTAACTATGCTATGTCCACACCATCTACCTTGGTAGCCTAGTAACCTACTAAATACATGTAGTAAATCCAGACTACCCAAAATCTATATTCTTTCACAGCAATGTGAAGGAACCTATAGGAAAGGCCTGTCTTGGCTATATAATCTGTTACATGATATGAAATACCTAGGTACCTGAATGCCACGGATCTCGAAATGATTCCTTTCTCCTGTGCTGTGGTCATTGGAAAGTCCTTGTAGAGCACTCAGTGGTGCTTAATTTGCTCTCAGTGCAGTTCTTCTATGGTTTCTCCACTCCACAACTGTTATATTAACTGTACTGCATTAACTTGTTCCTAATCCCTTCCATGCTGGGATAATCCTTGCATGAAGAAAACCCCTAAGGGGTAGTCAGTCCTGGCAACAGGGCTCCATTAAAGCTGAGAAGAGACATAGCATCCTCCCCCGCAAAGCTTTCTGCTTTTATATAGAGGGCCTATTCTCCATCCCCTGGGATTTCATCTGGCTTTTGGGGCAGAACTGCTACCTATAATGCCTGGGGCCAACCCCTATTGAATCATTTGAGGAAAATTTTGTGAGGGGGAAGCAGATTTTTCTGCTCTGATCCTCCACCCAGATCTCCATCTGCAAGTATTTCTGCAGGGGAGGAAGATCCTGGCTCCTGTTAGGAGGCCTTTCCTGATATTAAGGCTCAGTTTTCTTTCTCTTCATTTTATTTTATTACTCCTGTTATAACACCTCCTCCTCCCCCCCGTGCCAGCCTAAAGAATTCCTCTGCCTTCTTGGAATTTACAGCTTTTGGATATCTGTTACCATGGCACCACTTTATCATTATTGAGCTAAGCTAGACACGATTTACTCTTAATTTTCCTCAAGACAGCCCCTTCAGGCCCCTAACCATTCTGTTTGCTCTTCTCTGAACTTGCTCCAGGTTGTCACTTATCATTCTAGTAAATTTCTGCCCTGAATTGAATGCAGCATCCCAGGTGCAATCACATTAGCAGGCAAAATTATATTGAGGATTTTTACTGCCACATCACTAGGGCCCTACCAAATTCATGCCCATGAAAAAATGCCTCATGGATCATGAAATCTGGCTATTGTAGGGATAGGGCACTCCTACTGTGTGCTGACCTCCTGCTGCTAGCACCTGTGGGACTGGGGAGGGACGGGACTTCCTCTTCCCCTGCAGCGGCCACTCCCAGGACCAGATCAGACCCACCTCCAGGAACATTCCCTGGCTGCAGGAAGCTCTGTGGCTCCTGGCTGGAAGCCCAGCTCTGAAGGCAGTGCAGACATGGAGCTTCCTGCAGCCAAGGGACAGTGGTGGATTAGCCACTGGGCCTATGGGGCCCATGCCCAGGGACCCCAGAAAAAATCTGCGGCCAGGATTTGGAAGCCCAGAGTCCTGGATGCCGAGCGGGGGAAGCCCTCGTGCCCCAACCCTGCTCTGTGGCAGCAGGACCAGGGGGGCAGGGCAGTGGAAGGCCCCCACAGCAGCCCTCGACCTCGTCAGAAGCTGTGGGACAGGGTAGGCTCCCTCCACCCCAGCAGTCCCCAACCCCATCCCCAGCAGAATCTGCTGGGGATGAAGGAAGCCCCCCACCCCCAGCGACAGTGTTCCCTCTAATTTTTCCCACCCACGTGTGGAAAGAATTTTGTTATGTGCACCAATATGGAGGTGATGTGTCACACATCAGCTCCATATCGATGCACATAACAAAATTCAGGTGGCGGGGTGGGGGCCAAGGGATTTGAAGTGTGGGAGGGGCTCAGGGCTGGGGCAGAAGGTTGGGGTGCAGGGGCGTGAGGACTCTGGCTGAGGGTGTGGGCTCAGGGGTGGGGCTGGGAATGAGGGGTTTGGGGTGCCATGGGGCTCTCCAGGGCTGTGGTGGGGAGAGAGGACTCTCCCCTGCCCAGCTCCCTCCCCACAGCAGCACCTGGGCTGGAGAGGAGAGGCACCCCTCCCCCATCCCTGGCAGGGCTGGGCTGGGTCAGGGGCGGGGCGCCTCTCCCCCAGCTGTGGCAGGTCCAGGCTGGGCCAAGGGAGGGGCTCCTTTTCCCCGGCCATGGCAGGTCCGGGGTTGGGCTGGGTCTGTGTCAGGGCTGGGGGAGGGGTGCTGTGGCAGGTCCAGGGCTTGGGGAGAGCCATCTCTCCCCACTGCAGCCCTGAGCGCCTGCACAGTGCTTAATCCTGGCTGCACAGCTTAGTCCCTGGCAGAAGCCACAGGGTGCCAGGGGAAGCCCCCATGCCTGATCCCACTCTCCACTGAAGCACCGTGTGGGTGGGTGTGGTGAAGCCCCAGCAGCCTCACCCTGGTCCCTCGCAGAAGCACAGGAGTGGCAGGGAAAGCCCTAGCACCAGAACCCCCTCTGTGGCCCTGGGACTGGAGGCGGTCTCACTCCCTGCTGCGGGCCGTGACGAGGACAGAGCTTCTCCGGACTTGGGGCCACAGTGGGGCGGGGAGCAGAAAGGAGCAAACAGGGCTGCAGTGGGGAGGGCAGAATGGGGGGGACCCTGGGTGGAACCGGGGCACCCCGGGGAAGAGGCAGAAAGGGGTGGGGCTGTGGATGGGACCACAGGTGGAAGGGGCAGAACGGAGGTGGGGTCACAGGCAGAAGGGGTGGAGAGGGGCCCTGCCTTTCTCTAGCCCAGGGCCCCAGGATATCTTAATCCAGCTCTGCCAGGGGACGTACCCGGAGGTGGATCTAACCCGGCTCTGGGAACAGTCCCTGCAGAGGAAGTCCCATCCTTCCCCAGCTCTGTCAGAACTAGCAGCTGGAGCCCGGCCCATGGTAGGAGCCCCCAGCTGGGGCACTCACTGCCCTTCCCCTCCCCAGCTCTGGGCCTAGCACTTGGGGGCTAAAGGGGCCTTGGGCTGGCTGGGGTGGGAGGACCACGATGTTCCCCTGACCATGGGGCACCGGGTGGTTGCCCACCTGCCCAATCCTTCCCCCTCCAAAGTGATGGCCCCCGAGACCCTGCGACCCTCACTTGTGTTCTGCTGCTGGCACCAGCACTGGCTGTAGAGCTGGGCACCCAGCTAGCAGCCACCGCTCTCCAGCTGCCCAGCTCTGAAGGGAGCTCTGCTGCCAGCAGCAATGCAGAGGTAAGGGTGGGAATCCCGTCACACACACACCCGCCCCCCATAACCCTTTTTTGGGTCGGAACCCCTACGGTTATAACACTGTGAAATTTCAGATGTGAACATCTGAAACTGTTAAATTGACCACAATGAGCCATGAATTTAGTAGGGCCCTACAAATCGCATTGCAAACTCATGGCTAGTGCCCTACGCTGTGTTCCTCCCCTTGAGCCTCTTTTAGCATTACTACTTCTCAGATTTCTCTCTCTCCCATTGGGTGTGTTTTGGATTATTCCCCCCAAATGCATTAGTTTGCTTTTCTCCCTTTAGTCTTGTTTTTGTATTTTCTGCTCATGTCCTGAATATGTCTAGTTTTCCTGCATTATTTCTCTGTTCTCACTGCCATTTGAAGGCCCTCCAAATATAATGTGAAAACTTGTCTCCACTGAAGTTAATGGCAAAAGGTCTTTACTGAACTCAGGATTTCATCTTTAGTGTTATCTGCAGTTTTATTTACATGCAGTTTATTTATTCCCCAGCTTCCTCTCAGCTCTAAATCCCACTGATTAGACAACCCATTGTGGTTTTGCCATTATGTCTCAGATCTATTGAATTTCAAATAAAAGCAGTTGACAAGATAGGTTCTGTGCTCAGTGAGATGCCTATCCTGTCATTCTCCATAAGTTGGTTCAGGGGAGACTAGGGGCAGGTCTACACTACTGCTTAAGTCGATCTAACTTACATTGTTCAGGGGTGTGAGATGTTCTCCCGCCAACATAGCTTATGCTTCTCGCCCAGGTTGAGTAATTACAGCACCGATGTAGTGCTGTAGTGTAGACTTGCCCTAGGAAAAGTGTAATAATCATTATTCAGAGAACTGAAAACTTTCCCTTCTGCCAGGCAAAACAGATTCCCTGACAGATCAGCCAGGCACCTTGAGCATTGCCACTGCAGCCACAGAAATGTACTGTCTAATGCTCGTAATAGTTCAGGGCTTCCTCTTCCTCAGCTCTTCAGTTGAGACATTACATTTAGCTTGTATTATTCTCTGCTTATTTTAATAGCTGTGGCATGAAAGTGCTTTCAGCTTCAACCATGTCTATCTCTGTGTTGTTACTGTTCCATTAATGCTTTCTCTCTCTGACATGCACAGCTGTGGCCCATAAAAGTTTGATTCTTTAATACATTGGGGTGCTAAAATCCATTTTGCTTCATGTTGGAACAAATGTGGCCTCTGAAATCATAATAAGAAGCTGTTACTCTTTCCTTTCTTTCGCCTGATGAATTTTATGGGGCTGTAGGAGAAACATCACACATATTGCCTCTTGTGAACTCGTTCAGTGTCACCTTAATGAAGCTGGCCAAACATAACTCTGAGGTTCTACTGCAGTAAGAGGCTTACTTTATTTCTGGTTCTAAGTGAAGAAACACATTTTATAACTCTACATCCTTTTGCAAATTAGAAGCAACTTCATAACCCTTGTGGAGGAGTGAGCTAAGCTTCTCAGTGCCCATGTGGGGTGTCAAAGTTCCCAGCAGAGCTGTGCCAACCGTACAATTGCTGTAGCTGATCCTGAACTGGGGTGGAGATTGCCCAGACCAAACTAGGCAGAGGAAGTCAGATTCTTCAGCGTCTGGCACACTGTGTAAATGACTACACAGTGTAGTCATTTACACTTGGACAAAGTGGATGTAACATGCTACACCTCTGAGTTGACAGTGCTTTATGCCCACTTTGTCCAAGTGTAAATGACTACACTAGGTGCAAGGCAGTAACAAGCCAGTAACAAATGTAAACTTCTGTCTCACCACACTGGTTATCAAGAAGTCAAAAATGCAGTCTCCTAAGGCATCCCAGCCCTTATTTCACCCCAGGCACTAGACTTTATGATGAATGGTTACTGAAAACCAGGATCATCAAACAAAGGGTTCTTCTGATTTCAAGAGATCAGTCACAGAGCCAGGTCAACTCAGATCTTACCCAA